AGGGACACGGGTGAGGGACACAGGGAGAGGGGGACATGGTAGGATAGAGAGGGACACGAGGGGACACGGGGGGAACATGAGGGAATACGAAGGGACATGGTGGGAGGATACAGGGGACACATGGAGTGGGACACAGGGGCCACTTGGGGACACGGGGGGACAGAGAGAGGGATATGGAGGCACACGGGGAGGACACGAGGGGGTGCTGGGGGACATCAGGGGACATGAGGGGGGAACACGGGGCGGACACAGGGAAACGTGGGGGGACATGAGGGAGTCATGGAGGGACGGAGGGGGGATGCTGGGGACACAGAGGGACATGAGGGGGGATGCTGGGGACACAGAGGGAGGTGGGGGGACACCCAGGGGTCCGGGGGGTGGCAGCAGAGCCGTGTCCCCGGGCAGGTGACGCGCTGAACCAGCAGCACCGGCTCTTCGAGGAGTACCAGGACCCCTGTCGGCAGGGGCCGGGCCAGGACCAGCCCTGGGCCATCGGTGAGACCCCCGGGGATCCCACTGTCACCTCCCCCAGGGTCCACAATGTCACCTCCCCCCAGGGATCCCCACTGTCCTCCCCCTGCAGGGTCCCCACTGCCACCCCTGCCTGACGACTCCACTGTCACCTCCCCCTGTCTCATCCTCACTGTCACTCCTGCCCCGTGTCCCCTCGCTGGAGGGTTGTGGTCTTGTCTGGGGTCCTGCTCATGTCCCTGTCCCCTCCCTGTCCCCCCACAGGGACGCTGCTCAACTACCTCAAGATCTACGAGGAGCCCGTGTCCACCCCCGAGAAGATGAAGAGGTGACGGGCTGGGGACGGTGGGGACATGGGGGGGACATGGAGGGGACATGGGGGGGACACAGGGGTGGGGGACATGGAGGGACACGGGGGGGGGAGTGTGACCCTTCAGCTGAGCCACCGGCCTGGAGAGGGGATGGGGGGGTTCAGGGGGTGGCCCTCTATCCCCATGTCACCGTGTGCCTGTGCCACCATGTCCCCTGTGCCACCATGTCCTTTGTGCCACCACGGCCCCTGTGCCACCATGTCCCCTGTGCCACCATGTCCTTTGTGCCACCACGGCCCCTGTGCCACCACCTTTCTGTGCCTTCCCATCTTCGCCGTCCCCAGGTCCCCCTGTTCCCACGGCCCCATGTCCCTATGCCACCCTGTGTCACCCTGTCCCCATGCCACCATACCCCCCCTGCTGCCGTGTCCCTATGCCATGCCATTCCAGCGTCCCCACACCCTTGAGTCCCCCCGTCCCCACGTCCCCTGCCACCGCCTCTCTGTGCCGCCACGCCCCCCGTGCCGGTGCCACCCGCCCTCACGCCGTGTCCCCTGCCCGCAGGACGCTGTCCCAGCCCTGGGGGCGGCAGCAGTACCTGGCGGGGCCCATCCTGTGCAACGGGGACCCCGATCCCGCCGCCCCCCGGCCCTGGCAGGGCCGGCGTGTGGACTACGCGCTGCACCGCAGGCACCCGGCGCTGCCCACCGTGAGTGCCCCCTGTCCCTGTGTCCCCTGTGTCCCCTGTGTCCCCCGTGTCCCCTGTCCCCGTGTCCTGACGCTGCTGACCCTGCAGGAGGTGGCCGCGGTCTCCGTCGTCACCCAACTGGCCACGTTCTCCGACCACCTGCCCGTGGCTCTGCGGCTCCGGGTGGGACCCGCCGGCCCCTGAGCCTGGCACGGGCACGGCACCGGCACGGCACCGGGTATGGCACTGGCCCTGGGCATGGCACCTGGCACGGCACCGGCACAGCACCGGGTATGGCACTGGCCCTGGGCATGGCACCGGGCATGGCACCGGCACAGCACCAGGCACAGCACCAGGCACAGCATCGGCACCGGAGGCTGTGACACCCCCTGGGACAGTCCCCAGCCCCCCGTGTGTCCCTGCACTGTGACAGGACGGTGACAAGGGGGTCACGGGTAACGTCAGAGCCATTCCAGCACCGGGGCAGGGCTGGTCCCGTATTGACCCGGCATTGATCCGGTATCGGCCCAGCATCGATCCAGGATCAGTCCGGGATTGGTCTGGCATCAGTTTGGCATTGATCTGGCACCAGCAGGAGCCCACCCCTAACCCGGCACCAGCCTGGTATTGATCTGGTATCAGTCCAGCAGGAGCTCACCCCTAACCCGGCACCAGCCTGGTATTGATCCGGTATCAGTCCAGCATCAGCTCCGCATTGAGCTGATACTGAGGAGGCATCGATCCGGTATTGATCAGCCATCGATCCAGCCTCAGTCCGGCATCAGCCCGGAATTAGACGGGGATCAACCCAGCAGCAGCCTGGCCTGGACTTGGCATCGATCCAAGTCGATTCAGCATCAATCCAGCATCGGTTCCAGCATTGATCTGACATCAATCGGGCATTGATTCAGCGTGGATCCAGCATCGTTCCAGCGTGGATCCAGCGTCATTCCAGCGTGGATCCAGCGTCATTCCAGCGTGGATCCAGCATCATTCCAGCGTGGATCCAGCATCATTCCAGCGTGGATCCAGCATCATTCCAGCGTGGATCCAGCATCATTCCAGTGTGGATCCAACCCCAGACCAGCATCATTCCAGGGTGGCTCCAGCATTGATCAGGAATCAATTCTGGCCTCACCTGCTCCAGCATCGATTCAGCACCCTCTGCCGTGGTGCCGTTCCACTGTCAGGGATTCGGTGCAGTCTATTATGGGATGGCAGGACTGGGGTGGGTTTGCCTGTCCTGCCCGGGTGGGCTGGGGGTGGAGCCCGGGGGGAGGGGAAAGGGAAGAGCTGGGAATGCCTCGGGACACTGGGAATGCCCTGGGACACGGACACGGATCCGGGGAGGGGTGGGGGGTCCCAGGGGGGGTGGGGGGTCCCGGGGGATAGGGGGCCCGGCTCGTCCTGGGACAAAGCGGCTCCAGCCCTGAACCCTCTGTAACAGCTGGCATTGATCCGGTATTGGCTCGGTATAAATCCAGTATTGATCTGTTACTAATCTGGTATCAACTCAGTATCAGTCCAGCATTGATCTGGTATCCACTCGGCATCAGTCCAGCATTGCTCTGGGATCGATCTGGTATTGGCTCAGTATCAGTCCAGCATCAAACCAGCATTGATCCAGCGTCAATCCAGTATCACACCAGTATCGACCCACCATCAGCCTGGTGCCGGTCTGCCATGGGTCTGTGACTGCTCCAGGATCAGTCTGACATGGATCCAGCATTGATCTGGTATCGATCCAGCACTCACCCCCCCTGATCTGGCATCAGTCCAGCATCATCCCAGCATCAAACTGGTATCGGGTCCAGCATTGACCCAGTATCAGTTCAGCATCGATCCAACATCAATCCACCATTGGTCTGGTATTGATCCAGCACTGATCCATCATCAGAGTGGCACAGATCCAGCACTGATCCAGTGTCAATCCAGCATTGATCCAACACCAAACAGCTCAAATCCCGGCATTGATCCAGCACTGATCTGCTATTGATCTGGCATTGATCTGGCATTGATCCAGCACTGATCTGGCATCGATCTGGCACTGATCTGGCACTGATCTGGCATCGATCTGGCACAGCCACAGCTTTCCCAGCTGGAGCAATAAAGGCCTGGAGTGCACTGGAGGGGGTGGTGCTGCCACTACCCCACAGCACAGGGGGGGCCCCCATGGCCAGGGCAGGGACCAGGGTGGGAAGGGGGTCCAGGTGGGTGGGGCAGAGCCACGGGGGGCTCCCTGGGCCCAGGGAGGGGTCAGTGGGGTGGTCCCTGGAGGTCCCTGCACCCCCCACCTCTCACCACACGGACACTGGGCGGGAGGGCTCAGGTGGATTTATTGGAAGCTGGAGGTGGGGGGGGAAGGGAGGGCAGGGAGGAGACCCCAAAATGTGGGCAGGGCCCCCCCCCCCAGATGGAGGGGCTGAGCCCCCAGTGTGGGGAGGCAC